CCCTCATCGTTCAGACAAGGAGCCTGAGACCCCGAAGGGGGAAGGGAGTTACCTAATGGCTCACGTGATCCACTAGTGACAGAGCTGCGACCAGAATGGGCTCTCTTACTTCTGGTCCAGTGTTGTTCTCCAGGGAAGCGGGGAAGTTATAGCAGAGAGAATTAAAAGGAGAATCAGGGAGGCTGGCGAGAATATGCCTTATAATAACAGCAGCCCACACAAAGCGCTGGCCGTCCCCCGGGCTCTGTCTAAGCCTGTTCCGTATATTAACTCATATCCTCACCTATCAACCTTATGAACTAGGTACGTTTATTCTCCCCATTTAAAAGATGGGAAAATTAAGGTAGAGAGAGGTTAAGAGGCTTGCCTAAGATCACAGAGCAACTAAGGAGCACCTTGGCGGCAGGACGTGTGTGTTCACTCACTACCCTATTCGCCTCTCACGGAAGCCTGAGCTTGACTCCCCTAGTCCCACTCCCGCAGCAAGGAACTGAGCTTCTCTGCACTTTGACTTCCTAATATTAGTAAGCTGGGGGACTAACGGTGCCTCCGGCTCCTCGTAACTGTGACAGAGTCCACACGGTACACAGCTCTCAATGCGTATTAACAAAACCAAGAAAGGGGAATGCGAATGCTAGTGCCAGCCCAGGAGGTGGTTGGGCAGGGCATGAACATCCGAGTCCATGAGTGTGCCAAGATGCACATTTTTTTCACACTCCAACATCTCTGAAATGCCCTGACTTCAGTATGGTATCTGGGAGTGGTGATAAAGCACATGATGGAAATTTAGAGACACCAAGAAAAATAGGATAAAGCTCTGCGAGATGGGAGGGTCTGTGGCGAGTCAGAGGGCCAGACGTCTGACTCTTGATCAGAGAGTAATTCTGGACCCTGCCTCCCACCCTGGAGAGTGGCCTGCCGGGAATGAGTGTGCTCTCTGGCTCCCCTGCGTGGGAGGAGAAAGTTGAAGAGCTGCGTTGTTTCGGAGGGGTGAGAATAAGGATGTCTTCCATTTGAGCACTTACCTCCCCTTGACTTCTGTCCTCACTGCCTGCCCACGGTGGGAGAGACACCCTAACCCCTTTGTGCCTGCCGGGGCTGGGAACCCCACAACCCCAGCCTTCCCTGATTCCGGGGGACATCATGACTCCTCTGGAACCCTGGTCCTGTTGGTTGGTTTCTACCTGGTCTGAGGCCTGTGGTCGATGTCTTTTTTGGGTTTGTTTTGTTTTGTTCAGGTGAGAAATCTTGGAAGTACCCCTTTAATTCCTCTCTCACACGCCCCCTAAGCCAATCCATCAAGAAATCCTGTCGGGGGCGTGGGGGGGGGGAGGGGGGCGGTGCTGGGTGGCTCAGATGTTTAAGCATCTGCTTTCAGCTCAGGTCATGATCCCAGAGTCCTGGGATCGAGCCCCGCATCAGGCTCCTAGCTTGGCAGGGAGCCTGCTTCTCCCTCTCCCTCTACTGTTCCCCCTACTTGTGCTCTCTCACTCTCTCTGTCAAATAAATAAATAAAATCTTAAAAGAAAGAAGGAAATCCTGTCAGCCCTGTCTTCCAAATATATCCCAAAGACAACCACTTCTCCCCACGTCCACTGCTGCTGCTCTGTCCACGGGGATGGAGTGGAGAGGAGTCAGTCATCATCTCACTCTCGAATTTTCCTAAAAGTCTCATTCTTCGTCTCCAGGCTCCCGCTTCTGCCCTGCCCCTTTACCCTCTCCTCAACTCAGCAACGGGTCTGATCCTGTCCCTGCAGCAGCTCCTCATCCATTCTGAGGAAAAGCCAGAGCAGTGGCCCACCAGGCCTGGCTCCATGACGCCTTTCTGCCCTCTTCTCCTACTGCCTACCCCCTCTCTGCTCCAGTCCCAGTGGCCTTCTTGTTCTCCTGCCCCAGGGCCTTTGCACTGGCCGTCCCCTCTGCCTAGAAAGCTCATCCCCCAGATATCCACAGAGCTCACTCCCTCACCTCCTGTAAGTCTTTAAGTGTCACCTTCTGGGTGAGGCCAACACTGATGACCTTAGTACCGCAACTCATATTCCTCCCACTCACCCCTGCAATCCTGATTGTCCTTAGCTGACTGCTTCTATTTCCCATGGCCCTTAATCCTTACGGTTATGTTTGGTGTCTGTCTTCCTCTAATTGAGACATAAGTTCCCTAAGGGCAGAGATCTTTGTCGATTTTGTTCACTGACCTACTTGAGGAACCTAGAATAATGTCTTGCACATAGTAGGGGCTCCATGGAGATTTGCGAATGGATGAGTTTGCAGATTGAAGAGGGGTAACTGTGTGGCAATAACTAATCTTTGAGGAGAAGTAGGTAGGTTAGGGGATTTGAGAAAGTGATGTTTGAACTGAATCTTTTTTTTTTTTTAAAGATTTTATTTATTTATTTGAGAGAGAGAGAGAATGAGAGACAGAGAGCATGAGAGGCAGGAGGGTCAGAGGGAGAAGCAGACCCCCCGCTGAGCAGGGACCCCGATGTGGGACTCGATCCCGGGACTCCAGGATCATGACCTGAGCCGAAGGCAGTCACTCAACCAACTGAGCCACCCAGGCGCCCTGAACTGAATCTTGAAGTCCATCTGGAAGCTGAGGTTGGCGCAGAACACGGAGGTGAGAGAGCTTGGTGGCAGGGAAGGAATTAGGGGGAGGTGTGAACCAGTGATACCAAGCTGGAGAATATATTAGCAAGGTAAGTTGAGGCTAGACTGTGCAAAGCTTTGAATGCAGGCTGACACTTTTCTTACCACCAGGACCGGCTCCCAGATTTGTGGGGCTTGATGCAAAATGAAAATGCAGGGCCCCCTTGGTAAAAATTTCAAGAGGATAACAGCAGAGTATTGAATCAAGCTCAAGGCCCTTTTAAGAGTGGGGCTCTGTGTGACTGCATGGGGCCCAGGCCCAGGAAGCCAGCTCTGCCTATCGCACATGGGAGCTGGTGAGAACCTTCTAGCAGGGCAGAGATGTAATTGGAGCCGGACTTTAGGCAGATTATTCTGGTATGTCTGGTGGGATTAGGTTGGAGGGAGTCTAGGCAGGGAGACCAGTTAGGCAGCCTTGTGAGGAAGAGGAGGGGACAGGTGAGGTGGGGGTGGGTGCTGAGGGACACAAGGCAGGGGTGAAAACTGGAGTGAGTTAGAAGCATGGAGGAGGTAGAGTTTGCTCAGACAGGAACATGGCCAGGAAAGACCCCAGGGCACCTTCCTTTGCTCCTCCAACCCTTTTCCCCTCTTTCCCTTCTTTCCAGACCCAAGCTTGGGAGCGGTATGGGGCACAGGAATCTGTGGTGTGTCTCCCTTTGGCCACCAGAGGGCAGATCATTCTCATGGATTTTCCCAGATGAATTTGGGGTGGGGGAGTAGACTATCCTCGGTTCTCACCTCTTCTTCTCTTTTCCTCTCACCTCCTTCTGTGCTCCTTCATCAACTTCTTCCTCAATGACCGGGCGCCTGACTGGAGCCAGAATGGGCCATGGGGAGGTGTCCTGGAGTACTGTAGGTGGCACCTGTTGCCTTAAGAAGTACTCCATACCATCCCTCGTTGCGTCTGTCCAGCTGCCTATTTCTCTGGGCGACTTGGCCAAGGGCTCTGCTCAAGATGGGAGTTGAAAGTCAAGTATCAGAGGTCCATCCAGCACTTTCCCCCACAATTCCTGGGGCCTCTCTGCTCCTGTACCTTTGGGGACTTGCTGCTTAAGCCTGGTCTCTGGCTCCTGTGGGGACTCTGGCTTCTGCCCACCTTAAGCTGCTGTTGAGCCCTGGGGTGGGGGTGGGTCAAGTTCCAACACGCCCAGGGTACAGTGGGTGGGGGCAGCTTAGAGCCGGAGGAATGAACCCAGCCTACTGCCTCTCCCTGGTGAGACAGTGTAGAGGGAAGTGAAAGTGAACTTCCTGTTGGAGTTGGGGGCTCTCAAAAGATGAGAGGGACCTCACTTTATTAATGAAACTGAAGTCCAGGAAAGGAAGGGAACTTCTCCATCCTGAGGAATCCTCATTTTCAACCGGTTTCTCTTTTCTGTGAGCTTTCTTGTCTTAGAAGGGACAAATGAAAAATGAATTAAGATGAGAATGTCTTCCCTGCCTTACCTTACAGGGGTATTTTTAAAAGGTAAACCAGCGTGACTCAATATTACCACAGTGCAATGTCGTTTTGTGCTATTTTGAACGATTTGAAAAAAAGAGGTAAGTGGAATTCAAAGACGTTATTTAGAATGTCATCACTGGAACAAAGGCATGAATTCTCTTAATACAAGGACATCAAGGAGCCTAAACTCAGAGATGTTATGTAATCTTTCCGAGATCACATCGCATTTTCATTCCACCGAGCTGGGGCTGGAATGCAGGGCTGGTGGGGAGACCCCGCAGCCTCCCGCAGCCGGGAGCCTAGAACGCTGACCTGGTGCTTGCCCCGGACCTTAGGGAACACTGCAGATTAGACGTGGGGTGTATGGATAAATAGAAGCCCAGATAGACGATGGCAGGTGAAGAATGCTAAGGAGACAGGTCATAGACTGAGGCTGCATTTGACAGGTGACACACATGTTGATAGGCTGGCTGATAAACGAGATGGATTTTATGAGCTGACTGACAGACTGATGAGCAGACACGCAGACGGGGAAGTTGCCTTAGAACCAAAGGATGCCAATCGTTGGGACGGCTCACAGCCTTATTTTCTATTTAATCAAATAATAACGTGCGCAGGTGATCCGCGCTCCCTGTTCACGGTTTGAAAATGCCCGGAAACTGACGGAAAGACACGAGGAGTCAGACTCTGGGTACTACCCGAGGGAACAACTCGGGGCTCGCCGGGCCTCGGGTGTTGCCGGAAATGGCCGTCGACCGCCGTGGGCTGCGGGGCGGGACGGGGGCGTGGCCGGCTCACTGCACGCGGTGCCACTTCGGGTGTTTCCGGAAACCGCGGCGAGCCAGCCTGAAGTGGGCGGGGAAAGGCCTATGGGCGTGGCTAGAGTCTCCCGAGTAGCTTCGTGTATTTCCGTAAACAGAGCCGAAGCTTGGGCTTCGGAATCGAGGCGGCGCGCTCGTCCGCGGGCTTTACCTTCTTCGGGTGTTTCCGGAATTCACCCGTAATCCGCGGCCGAGAGGAGGAGGCGCGCCCCCCTCCCGTTCCTCGCCGCTTCGGAGGTTTCCGGCTGCTGCCGGCGGAAAGAGCCGAGGGCCGGCGGTGGTGGCGGCCATGTTGGGAGCAGCAGGTCCGGCGGCGGCTGCCTGTGTGCCGGGCGCGGAGCAGTGCCGCTGAGGGCAGGGGAGGAGCGAGGCAGGCGGCCGGCTGCGGCGGCAGAGAGTAGGCGGAGCGGCGCGGCCCGGCCGAAAGGCGGCACAGCCCAGCCGGGGGTCGGGGGGGTGCGGTCCGGAGCCGCTCGGAGCCGGCGCGGCCTAGCCCGAGCGGCGCATCCCCGGGCTGGCGTGAGCGGCTGCCCGGCCTCCCCGCACCCCCGGCCGGGGCCCATGCGGCGGGTGCCCCTGCTGTGAGAAGCCCCGCCCGGCCGGGCTCCGCGCCTTCCCTTCCCTCCCTTCCTCCAAGCTTCTCGGTTCCCTCCCCTGAGATACCGGCGCCATGTCCAGCGCCCGGACCCCCCTACCCACGCTGAACGAGAGGGACACGGAGCAGGTAAGGAGCCCCGAGGGCTCCCCGAATTCTCTGGCTGGGCCCCTGCACCTTGCAGAGCCTCCTCCCTCCTCTGCTCTCCTCGTGTCCCTGCTGCCACCCTGCAAGCCTCGGCTGCCCTGTCATCTGGCTCTCGGCCTCGCACATCTCCCTGAGTCCTGTCCTGGGACCCACCTCGTCCTGACTCCAAGCTGCACACTTGTCTTTTCTGCTGACACCCCCCCCCCACACCTCCCCTCGCCGCCCTCCTGCGCTCTTCCGTGTTACCTCCCTAGCTTCCCCTTCTCTTCCCTTTTTCTCTCAGGGGCCTTTCTGTTCTTCCTCCACCCACGCTTAAAGCCGCCACCCTCTTGCTCCTCGAATAGCACCCCGCGATTTGCCCCAGATCGTTGTCCACCTCTTCCTCCATCTCCCTAGCCTTGCTTCTCCTCCTCCCGCACCGGTTCTCCCAGTCCCTGGTTATCACCCTCAGGGTCCCTGCCCCGGAGTGTGTTCTCGATCCCTATCCCCTTCCAGTAACCCAGCTTTTTTTCTTTTCTTTTTTTTTTAACCCTCTTCTCCAAATTGTGCTCTCCCTCATGCTTGCAACCCACCAGCTCCACCCTCATCACCTTTCCAAATGGTTCGCCTACTCTTTGCTCATCACTTTCCCTGCTTTTCTCCAGGAGCTCCCTGGTGCCTCGCGGTGGCATTTGTTGCTTCCGTGTTTCCCATCCTGCTGTCATGCGCAGAGTTTCCCACAGGTTGTCTTTGGGGTTCCAGTCTGAAGGATTCCCTTCAGAGTCCGGATCCCTCGCGTTCTGTTCCCCTCAGGTTTGGTTTAAGTCTCTGGGCTTCCTGTTTTCTCACTGAGTGCTTTACCAGCCTGCACCCTGGGCTCTGCCTGCGGAGGGAGAACATTCTCCCAGCCCCATTCTGTCGGTACCACCTGTTGCTGAGTCCTTTCCCCCCCCATCACGCTCCCTCGCCATCCTTGCCTTTTTGTCTTCTCACACTGCAACACAAACCATGATGCCTTCCTGTGTCTTCACGCCTGGCTCTGTCACTTTTCATAGTTTCTTCCTCCTTGCTCGGTGCCTTCCGGTTTCTCTACCCTCACCCAGTCGTCCTTGCTCTACTTCTTAACCAGGGTTGCCTTTCATCTCCGGATTGGTCTCTTCTGGCCTTCTTCACATCGTATTTCTTTCGCCACACATGCCCCTGTCCCTTCACTCCCCGATTGGCTTGTGTTGTAACTCCCGGTTCAGGCACTCGGCATACTAGTTTCTTGAGCTACACAGCCCCACCCCGCCCCCCGCCCCGTCCTGGCAATCATTGCTATCATCTGTCACCCAGGCTTTAGCGTTTTCTCTGTCACCTCACCTGTGAGCTGAGAGGCATCCACTTTCCACCCCTCCCCTGTCTTTCACCACGTCCCGAGTCCGTTGCTGACTGCTGACTGCTCTAGGGAGAGTCCCCTGCCTGGCACACCCTTGTCGGTGGAGAACTTTCCTAGGCCAGAAAAACTTGACTTGAAAAAGGAGCTCTTCACCCCTGGGGCTGCAGCGCCTTTCTGCATCCTCTCCCTTATGACATCCTTTATGTTTTCCTCTCATTCCACTCTTTCTTCATAGCTCAGTAGAACCGTTGTTCTGTTCTCTTGCGTGTTCACATCCTTCCCTGGAAAATCTGCCCCCGTTGCGTTTTCCTGCGTTTTTCTCGTGTCACCCGCCCTCGCTCTCTGTCACCTGGGCAGTCGGGAACTCAGGAGGAGTTCTGGCCCGAGTTTTTCTCTGCACCGGTTGACCCTTTTGTTGCTAATGGACTGATTGCTTCTGGGGGTGAAACGAGTTGGGAGGGAGGGCCGGTGGATGTCTGTTTCATCACTGGGTTTTGCAGCTGGCTCTGCATGGGCCTGAGGTCTTTGGAAACCGGAGCGTGGTCTGCATGTCCCAGTCTTGCCCTCACTTGCCAGCTGTTTCTCTCCTTGCTGGGAACCGCTTTTCCTAGGCCCTCCTGAGGTGGCCTGTTCCATTCCTTTTCCCATCACGGCCTTTGTCTTAGCAGGTAAACCCTGCTTAACCGGAGAACTTTCCCAGACTGTTGATTATGAGCTGGTAGGAGGAGGCCAAGTGACTGACTGACACCCTCAGGCATGTGAGGCGTGGCGGTGGAGTGCCTACTCTCTCCGCAGAGGCTGGGGGGTGGGGGGGAGGGGGGCATTGTGTTCAGCCAAGTAGAGTAACAGACTGCCTCAATGTGGTTTCTTTGTGCTGGTTACTAAATGTAAATGTATTCTCGCCATGGTCTTTTTCTTGTGATGTGTGCATTGATTTCTGTTCCCTCCATGCCTCGCAGACTGCTGAGCGCCTAGTAGGAAGTCGGTGCACACCCATTGATTTTATGAGGGCAGTAATCGGGTGAACCATTTGGGAATGCAAGCTGCGCTTTGATAACTTTGTCTGGAGCAGTGGCTGCATACTTTGTCATCCTGTTCCAAATTATGAATTACTCATCCCGTTTGCACTCTTTATGGACTTAGGTTCCCCTGAACCACTTCATCGCTTCTGCTGGTGTTCTCGAGGTAGCCAGTCATGCTGTTTACTTCATGCTAAGTCTGGTCCTAGTAAAAGCACAGCCATTGGAAAAGCTTGGATACACCTACCACAGGCAGATGCCTGTATTTTTCAAAACAAGGGAAAAGACAAGTCGCAGCCCTTCTGGTCACAAGGCCAGGGATGCCAGAAGCATCGGCCTCCTTTAAAGAGTAGATGATGCCACCAGGTAAGAGCAAGAAAGCTCTTGGTTCTGTTCTAGTCGAAGTAGTCCCGGAAGTTCAGTCATTGCAGTAAGCCGTAATGTTGTGAAATAAAAAGGAAGGGATTTGGTTGGGCTGATTCCTTCCCCCCAAAGATGCTCTATCACTGTATTTAGGTTTAAATTATTTAAACTGGTTTCACCGGAAAATAGGTAAGCAAACTCTCCTAGTTGTCTTCAAGCTCTGACTTCTTTTTTGCTCTTCCTCTCCCCCTTTCTTTATTAAAAAATGTGGCTGATGGGAAGCTGTTTCCAGGAGCTCTTTGATCGCATCTGAATTAAACACACATAACACATACACAGAAAATGTGGAAGCATAAAAATAATCCTTGTGTTGCAGGAAGAGTGCCTGTTTGCTGTCGACTCTGCTTCTCACAGTGAAAGTGGGAGATAAAAGAAAGTCAAGCCCTGTCTCTAAGATGGTTTTTGTGACACCTGGTTGCAGATGTGCTTTCTCACAGCCATAGACTCTTCTTTCATTTGCAGGAGGGTTGTGACCTCGGCTGGTAGTTTTGGGGATTCTCAGTCTGCAAGCTGAGCTTTCTGTCCACTTCTTTTCCAAATGGCTCTGCTGGCCTGGAGTCTTGGCTGTGGTGAAAGCAATCAGCAAGATGACTGTTTGTCTTCCAGCCAGGGGCAGCAGTAACAGGCAAGTGTGGAGAGGGGTCCAACTTCCAGAGTTCTGCTGCTTGGCCAGAGCTTCCTGTAGCACCTGGTAGAGGGCCTATGTGGCTTCAGACCTGCCCCACCCTTGGGCCTCAGGAACCACGACAGAGGGCTTCTGACGAAAAGCAGGAGCCTTTCACTACCAGCCTTTCACTTCGGCTGCAGTGGGCAAGGGAGGGGGTTGCTGTCATTCTTCTGGGGAGTGAGTGGCATTGTTTATTCTTTTGGGTGGTTCTGGGAAGAAGCGTGTGGAAGTCTGGCTGAAGTGAGCAAATCTAACTTACAGAATCCTGTAAAGAACAACTGAGCCGCTCCAGACACACGTCCCTTGGATGCCAGTGTTGATTCTGGCTGAATGTTGCATTGAATAATTTGGTTTTAGTGTTGACTCTAGTAGAGAGCTCTCATTTCCCTCCATGTCCTGGGAGCTATGCGGCACTGTGCTCTGGGTACAGACTCCGACTTCTGCCCTTTGACTCTGGCCAAGGGCTCCTTAGTGGTGCTGCCTTCTGGTCAGAGGTGTGGGTGGATGGCATTCTCACTTCCTGCATGGCCCTAGAAATTGGAATGAGGCCTTGTTAGAGCAAGGGCTTTAGGAGTCAGGAGTTCACAGAGTTGCTCACCATACCATAGTCTTTGAACCCAGTAAAGGTAACTAACTAATAAATTGTAATAATTTCTCTAATCTGTGGCTTTGGGAAGTAGCTAAACAGATGGATACAGGACAGTCCTTGAAACTTGGACTGCTGTAGATTAAAATCAAGTTTACCCAGGGAATGACTGCATCTTTCAGATGGTGACCAAAGATTGGGCCTGAGATTCTTTTCACTGTCAGTGTCTTTTTTTTAAAGATTTTATTTATTTGACAGAGAGAGACACAGCGAGAGAGGGAACACAAGCAGGGGGAGTGGGAGAGGGAGAAGCAGGCTTCCCGCGGAGCAGGGAGCCCAGTGCGGGGCTCAATCCCAGGACCCTGGGATCATGACCTGAGCCGAAGGCAGATGTTTAATGACTGAGCCACCCAGGCGCCCCTCACTGTCAAGTGTCTTAACTGATGGCTATGAGATAGGAAAAAATTGAGAATTTGCCTAAGAGGTTTGCATGGTTAGATCTCTTGGAAGTCAAAAACTTCTCCAACTAGACACTTTCCCCTTTGGACAGAACAACCCAATTCTCAGTGGGCATTTCACCAGGACTAACCCCTGCCTCCGTGAACTCTTTCCCATTGTGCACTTAGCCACCTGGCTGGCCTTTCTCTTCTCCCAGGAGCTTCCATGACTTTCCTACATATGTATTATGTCAACTGGAATGAATATTTTATGTTTAGAGTGCAGCCAAGCCTCAGACTTTGTGGCCCATTATCGACAAGAGGGGTGGGGGCTGGGCGCCACCTTTGGCCCCATGATAGCTCTGCTAAATGGACTCTCCGCCACCCCCCTCCCCACCCTCCCAGCAGCACTTTGAAGCCCATTAAGGGACCGGGATGAAGTAACCTCAGCAGATGGAAAGGGCGAGGAGGGTGGTTGTCCTTCCTTCCCCAA